GTTTTTTATTCAAGTGGGTGTAATTGGTTGTCAAGAGTGTAACTATTTTTGATGTACAAAAAATAATTATACTTTTTATACTATTCGATCAATGTTTTTTTTTGGAAATTAATATGTTGGATTTTTCTGTATGTTTTGGTCGTTGTTGGGATGACTGGGAAAAAACTGGTTTAGGTTTAATGGTTGTAACTGTTTTTAAAAGTTTTTTTAAAAAAATGCTTTTAAAAAACTGATTTGGATCTTATATTTTGGAAGATCCTGTTATTTTCTAATTTTTTTTTGTTTTATGTTTTTTTACTAGTAAGTAGATAATTATTGAATTGCTTTGTATTAATGTTGTACATAACTGTTTCGTGTAACTGTTGTTCTTTTCCTTTTTGAATTGATATAATGTCATTCATTTTTTTAATGTCTTAATCAGGAATGGATGGAATGGTGTTGGTTATATGCAAATATGATGTTGAAACTTTTATTATTAGATGTTCTGTTCGTGCAACATTCGATTTCATTTATAGTAGACTTTGTGAAAAATGGGAGGACTTGGGGAATTTGTTTGTCATCATGTCATATTCTATACCAGGTCACCCAAAATGTTGTTTGCAAAATGATGAAGACTTGCGTAATATATTTGATATAATGCGTTTGATAAATGTCAATCATGTTGAGGTCATGGTAACTGGGCAAGGTAAAGAGGCATGTGTGGTGGGTGATGATAATTTGATTGGAGATGTTCATATTTGTGATGATGGTTTGGAGTCTGATGATGATTTGCTCCCTCGCTTCTGCTCACATACGGAAAAAGTATTGTTGACGACTGTGTGGTCAAATGAAATAAGACATGTAGGCCAAAAGTTTGAAGGTGGTGTCACACATTTTCGTAAAGCTTTGTGTAAATACTCAATTGAGATTGGGTTCAAGTTTAATTACGTGAGGAATTGTAGGGATAGAGTTATTGCTAAGTGCACGTCGAAGTATGATAAAAGGTGTGGATGGCATATCAATGCTACTATTCAGAATCTTAATGGTTTCTTTTACATACGAAAAATGAATAAAGAACACATATGTGGAGTAGCATTGCGTACCACAAAGAACAAGAGATTGTCTTGCAATATGATTGCAGATTCGATTGTTGATAATGTCTGTGACCAGACCTCCACTCGTCCTATAGATGTGGTTAGTTATTTCCTTACATCTTATGGTCTTGACGTATCCTATCACTAAGCATGAATGGGAGTGGAAAAAGCAAAGGGTATGCTTTTTGGGGATCATACGTTGTCGTACAAACAGTTACGCTGGTATGTGGATGTTGCGAATAATACAAACCCCGGGAGTCATATAGTTTTGCATTGCGATGATGACAATGACCGCTTCCATAGATTGTTTGTGTCATTCAAGGCATGCATCGAAGGTTTCAATTATTGTCATCCAATTTTATTCATTGATGGGACATTCATTAAAGGAAAGTACAAAGGAATCATCCTTTCGGCAATTGGGAAGGATGGTAATTAGGGTATAAGTCTTTTAATTTTTTTTTCTAAATGTGCGTGTTAATTTTGTATTTTCTTTATAGTATTTGGTCATTTTAATTTTTCTTAGTGTTTGATTTTTTCATAGGTACTTAATGATCTGGTTTGTTTTTTTTTTTTGTTCTAATGTCTTAATAAAACATGGTGTTTGTGCATATTTCTTTAATTGTTAGTGTAACTGTATAATGTATAATTAGTGTAACTGTTACTGTTTATTGTAACAGTTTTAAAATAACAAGTTGTTGTATATTTGTTATTATGATGTAAATTCGTAGGCTATTGTTTTAATATTTCACATAACTATACACATTTACCTTTGTGTTACAGGATTATACCCACTAGCGTTTGCGATTGTTGACTCGAAAAATTAGGCGAATTGGTTATAGTTCTTACAACAATTGTGTGAGATTTTGGATCTTAATAGGGAAATTACATTTGTATCTGATCATAATGTTGGTTTGTTGGAAGCCATGCCAAAAGTTTTTCCAATGTGTCACCACGCTTTCTGTTTGCAGCACTTGAAGGCGAACTTAAGGGATAAGTTTAGTGGTACTCGGTATTCAAATGGATTTAGGGAGCATATGGTGGTGTTGTTGTGTGAGTGTGCTTATGCCCCCACCATTTCATTGTTCACCCAAAAAATTGAATGTTTTCGACGTGAGAGTGGACACATTGTCGAGCGTTTTTTGGATAATCTTCCATATGAGCATTGGGCAAATGCATACTTTAGAGGTAGACGTTACGGCGAGATGATTTCTAACGCAGTAGAGTCGTTCAATTCGTGGATTATGAAAGCACGACATTTACCCATTACGAGCATGGTTGACACTATCAAGTGTCAAATTATGAATCAGATGGGTGCTAGGATGATCATAGTGTGTACATGGAATGGAATTGTATGTCCTGAGATGGATTAAAGATTACAAATTGCATTTGCCGAAAGCAGGGCTTGGACTGTTAGTGTTTCGAACAATGATGTGTACGGAGTTAATTCAAATCCTTGTGTTTCAGTCGACATCAACAATGACACGTGTTCATGTTTTCAGTGGCAGATTAATGAGTTCCCTAGTTCTCATGTAATAGTGGCGATACGAAAGAGTCAGAGAAATATGAATGAGTTCGTTTATTATTTTTATCATGTTAGTACATACAAGAAATCGTATGCTCAACCTATACTCCCAATCCCGACTCTTGGTCGTTCAGACTTCAATGTTGACGAATCTGAGATTTTGCCACCGTTAACAAAGAAGCAGCCTGGCTGACCAAAAAAATTGAGAATTAGGTTAAGGGGAGAACTTATTAGACTAATTCGATGTGGTCGCTGTGGACGGTTAGGTAGTCACAACAAGAAAACTTGTAAAGAACCCTTGTGATTGAATTACTATTTTTAATTAATAAATTTGTTATTTGAATATTAATTCTTGTTCAATTGCTATTTTTTTTTTTTACTCCTCATTCTATTGATAGGTTATAAGGCAGATGAGTGTAACTGTTTTAATCTTAATGGGTGTAACTGTTTTTCATGAGTGTAAATGTTTCTGATCTTAATGGGTGTAACTGTTTTAATCTTAATGGGTGTAACTATTTTGTATGGGTGTAACTGTTTTGATCTTAATGGATGTAACTATTTTAATCTTAATTGGTGTAACTGTTTTGATCTTAATGGATGTAACTATTTTAATCTTAATTGGTGTAACTGTTTTGATCTTAATGGGTGTAACTGTTTTTATTGGTGTAACTATTTTTGGCCACTGCAAAATTACATGATTGAATAGTGGCTTTATATATCTTGCAACTAGTGCATTTTTATATATCAACTAACTGGTGCATTTTTATATGTCAATTAACTGGTGCATTTTTATATATCTTGCAACATAGAAGCCTTAGACTAGGACAAGCAGCCAGTTTCCAAGTTAAAGAAGCAAATCTATACATGTTACACCAAACAGTTACAACAAATAGTTACATCAAACAGCAAGAGGAATGTAGTTAAGATTTTGAAGCAAACAATATTTATCATATGATTTTTGAAATTCCATATGATAAACAATATCCATTACATACACCATACAAGGTGTTTATTTCATGATCCTCAAAAACAAGGAACAACATATCAAATATGATTATTCATACAATTCCTTCAATTTCATCCTTTCATGGTAATAATTTAGTGTCCAAGAATTAGAATGGTTTAAGAACATTTCCAGCATTTCTGTCTGAAAATCTTTCACTTGTGAAGCTGTAAACTTTTCTTGTATGTCTTCGTCCTTTGCAAGCTGTCTCATTACGTAGCAAACGAGCAGTCCACAATCGACCCTGCAATATAGGTTATGTTACTACCTTTTCTTTGAATATGTATGAATTAAAGTAACAAAGTAATACGTACGAATTGACCCTTTGTTGTGGACTTTTCTCACAAGATGTCATTAGAAGAACATTGTCTGAGGGGTCTATGTCAATTCCATCGGCCGCTTGCATGTCACTAATTTTCTGTTCAACATAATCTTTCTGCATTGTTTCAATGGTAGATGTTAGTGATGGATATGATATTGTAAAAAAAATAAAAAAAAAATAAAAGGGTTTTAGTTGTTTTTTACCAATATTCTTGCATCCTCCACCTACACGTCCCTTCTCACTTTTCTTGGTTTCATAGAATTGTAGTGTGTCCAAGATCCAGCATCAGTATCCAAGACTAAGACTGTCCAATGCCAAGGTTCCACAAGGTTGTTTTGACCATTGGAATTCATGGGAAATACAAGGAATTGACGATCTCTTCCCAAAATGAGGTTTTTGTCAATTTGTTCTTTGCATAAATCCATGTTTTTTGTAATGAATGTCTACAAATATTCCATTTTATGGACAATTAAAATGAAATATAACGGTAGTAACATAAAAAAAATGACAATAAATGTTAATGTACCCAACATAGACTGTTGAAGAAGAAGCAACGTTTTTTATATGTTAACTGTTCGTTGTTTGCATCAAGTTCATGCAACATATCTCCCTAACAATCTATAATCTGTTACAATGCATAAAACAATGTCCAAAGCAGAGTAAGGTTTTCTAAATGCAACATATGTGGACTTAATATTTACACATACATACCAATGTTGTAGCATGGGCAAACAATTTAGATATCATATAAACTATAAAGTGTAATACGTACACTTTTGTACAGTTCACATCCTCCCATCAGTTTCAATGCGTCTTCAACATTTATGTAGCTTCCAATTGAAACATCAGACCAAATGAGTGTCCTACATGATCAATCATAGCATAATCATATAAGGTAAATTCATATTTTTTATAAAATTACAATGAGTAAATCCACAAATTTTAACGAAATAACTATAGCGTAATACATAAATATTATAATATATAATATACTTACGTAGGTACTTTTGTATCATTGATTTGTTTTAATTGATTGTAGATAGACGGATTCGATTTTTGACAAATCATCCACAACCTTACAATTTCCTTATCGTATTTCTCTTTTTCTTTCGCTGCACTGATCTTTTTTGTGTCATCTGCAAGAGTGATAATTGAATGTGAAGCCTCAATGTGTCCTTTGTCCCTTTTCTTATTGCTATACTCGTAATTCTCATTTCTTTTTCTCTTCCTTTCCTTAGTCTTCAGCTTTCGGACCATTGACGTTTGACCAATATCTGCACTGTCATTAGGCTTGGTGGCTTGCATCATCTAAGTGATGTTGTGGACTGTCAACTCATTTATTTGATCTATTAAATCTGCATCTTCAGCGTCTAAAATTTTGACATTCTCCTTTAATGACACATTTTCGGCCTCAATTGCGGCTTTTTCACTATGCATTGTATGAACCAATGTCTCAAGCTGCTCGATTTTTGTGTCTCTATTCAATGGAATGTCTTGTTGCACTTCAGCCTGCTGCATTAAATCATCAAGAAAATATCAGTTAAGTAATATAGAAACAATAACCAAAAACACTTACATACAAAACAGTTACACCATAGAGTTACATCATATTAGATAGTACAACAGTTATCCTAAAACAAACCATGAAGAATAAGAAACAGTTAATCAAATATGTACCAAAAGGATTTCACCACATAGCTAACTATCCAATATTTATCAAAATTGTTGATGCACACAGTTACTATTTTACACCAAATATAGATACACAAGAACCATCATGTAGATAGTTACATAAGCATAAGTCCCAAATAGGTGAATTTAATAGATAAGCAACTACACATAAACATTTTCACTAATCAGGCATAATACAGTTACACACAACAAGATTCAAAAAATTTTGCACCAAATTCTCATAGAGCTACAACAAGTAAAGGTATGAAGATTGAACAAAGATATGATGTTATAACAGTTAACTTTATATATACCTCGTGATGCACCATGTCAACAGTGTCTTGCATGCGTCTTTTCAACTCTTCATTCTCATTGGACAACTTGGCAATCTTTTCTTGGTTTAATTTATCCTTTAGCATCAACTCAGAAACAATCCTTTGAGCTTCATCTCTCTCTCTTCTAATGTTGTCCTTGCCAGTGTCATTCCAAAAATCATGTACTGTTGATTGGTTGTCCTTTTCTCTTGGTTGGGTAACATTCACTTCAACTAAGTCAACCACATGTCTCATTTCATTTGAGTATTCATATTTATCACTTGATGGCGTGCCAACACCATTGTCTCCTGTGTCAAGTTGTTCATTGTCATCTAACTCCATCTCCATTGTTTTTTTTGACATTTTCCTTGCATTCTTCTTCGATGAGATAAACATCTTTTCTTCCTTAGTTCTCTTCAATTTTTGCTTCATAATCTGCGTGTAAAATACTTTTAATCAATAAACAGTTACATAGTAAATTTCTTTAAAACATTTACAAGTTATATGGATAATTGTATATGAATTGATACTTACATCACTTGTCAGGATGTTTGACAAATTTTTTTGCTTGATTGCCTTATTCAGACTTGGTAAGTTCCATTTTAGGAACCGAGGGAACGGCCTTTCAATGCTGGGGGTCATCATGGAGGTGTGTTCACACAAGCAGTACTTTAACATACAAGATTACGATAATCAGATCATATGGGGTAATAGGAAAGTAATTTCAATTCCCAAATTAACATATTACTTTTGTTAAAACACTAACCAGTATTAGGAGAACGCATCCATTGATAGCCGTTGGCGTTTCCTTCTTCTTCTTCAATGATGAAATCAAAGTATCAGTTATAGCTTCAGACCAATTGTATTTTCTACATGCCTCCAAATTTTCAATATATTGTACCAACCCCCAACTCATTGTGTTTCCCGTTACAAGAAAAAAAAGAGTTGCCAACAGATACATACATAGTAATCTAGCCAAGTCCTCATAACCAACCTCACTATCAATTTCAGACGCATGTCTCAGTTTGCTTCTTATCAATGTTGTTGTCAACCTCCAATCTTTTTTGAACCAGCGTTCTGTAAAGGGTGTAAACGATTTTACATATATTGTACAATCAATCTTTTCACACCCATCTTATATCCCAAATATCAAAGTCACATCACTAGGCCGCAGTCTCAGTTTTTTGTTGCTGATATTGAATCTTGAAGTATCTGAATTGAAACATAATAGTATTTGAATAATGTAGCTGTCACTTTTACGGCACCATATTTTGTCTATAGTTTTGTCAATGATACATTCAAAAAGCAACCAGAAGGGAGTTTTTTTCAACGCTGTTTTGTGATACACATTTAACTTAAGTTCTTCAATTGCCTTGATAATGGCAAGCATATTTGATCTGTATTGCAGCTTGTACCTTGCACCAGTGATGTCTAATTCACTTTGGTTGTCATCTACTTCAACATTTGTCTTTGATGCCTGCGACGCCTGATGTGGAATTTCTTTGATACCCCTTATAGCAGGTCTTTTTTTTGAAGCTTCTTTCTTCGCCATGACCTATTTAATCCATCAACTATAATGGGTTATCAAACAATAATAAATGTTGTACCTATATAAACATAACCATTATTCCACACATTGGTAACTGTTTTAATTCGTCAGAGTGGGATTCATTCAATTTTTTAATGAACATTGTAATTTAATTGCTTATAATAACTATTTTTACTTAAAAGCAGAGCTTGTTACGACCCCAAGAGCTTTCAGATACAAAGATCTCAAGTCAATCACTGTTTACGGAATCTGAGTCAATTTGGACTTCATATGCAGTCAAAATATATCAGGAGAATAGTTTCAAAACACATTTAAACTCATTAATTTTTGAATATGCACTGTCTAAATGTGAAACTCTAATAGTTACCTCAATCAATTACATACATGTTTTTAGTTAATGGAGAAGAATAGTTACGCAACACAATAAAACCCAAAAAATAGAAGAAAACCCATCAATTTATGTCTGACTAGCTAATGCATCAGCTACACAAATTGATCCCCTATAACCATGTTGTAGATAAAAGGCAATCTTGCAAAGTAGTTGCACAATTTGATCAAGCATACCCATATAAGGCCAAGAACATCTCACCTTAACTCTCACAGTATTCACCAGAATCAGAGAATTTGAGTCAATTTGGACGCCATATCCAGTCAAAAAATATCAGAAGAATAGTTTCGAAACACATTTAAACCTATTAATTTTTGAATATGCACTGTCTAAATGTGAAGCTCAAATAGTTACTTCAATCAGTTATGAACCTGTTTTTAGTAAACTAAATAGTTGATGGATCAATAAAATCTCGAATGACATACTTGTAAGAATTGATTCCTTAAAATTAGGAAAATAGTAACGCAACACAGTCAAACCCATTAAATTTTGATTTAAAGTAGTATATATTTGAAAGACAAATAGTTACTTAAATCAGTTACAAAACTATTTGAGTTTTAAAAAACAAGTATAAATAAAGTTTTGATAATGACAGATTTGCAAGAATTCAATCCTTAACATCAGGAGAATAGTTACGGAGCATAGTTAAACCCATTAAAGTTTTGAATATGAACTGTATACATTTGAATCTCAAATAGTTATTTAAAACAGTTACATAACAATTTTCATATAATTTCATATAAATATGCTAAAATAAATCTGCAAATTTGTAATATAATTTCACATAATTAGGGTTTTACAATTTTATAATTTTTCTGAATCAACTTGCACAGTTTATGAACAAAAAAAACTAACTAATCAATTAATGAAACCCCCCCCCCCAAAAAAAAAAAATAGAATGTCACCTAATTTTTTGGTGAAGAAGTGCCGAAGAAGATGAACAGTCGGAGTACTCTTTGGTCGTTCAATATTCAACAGGATGCTGAAGGATGATGTTGCCGAAGAATAAGGATGCCAAAGAATGATAATGCTGAAGAATGAGGATGCCGAAGATTGTGGATGCCAAATTTTAAACTGTTTTGATAAACTAAATCCCTTGTTTAAACCTCCCATTAAATGCTTATACCCATAATATACAGAGGAATACAAAATGTTTTATACGTTTTCCATTGACTAACGAATGACAGTACTTGTATTTTTATAAAATATGCACTTTATCCTAAATAAGTTTTTGAGTTGTATTTTAACCTAAATAAGTCTAAAAAATTGTACCGACTTCCAAATTTCTCATCTTTTTTTGGGGATGGAGTGTGACAAAAACTCTCATTGGAGAGAGGACTCTAACATGCTCTCAACATGAATAACCCATCTAGTAATTGGAAGATACAAATGTAACAGGCTAACCATAGAATAATGGGTTTTCACAAAAGTTCTTTGCCTACATAGAGGAGAACTTAAAAATCACGGTAACAATCGTATATTTTTTCCATCCATCAAGCTAATTGACACCTTTTTTTTGTAAACCAAATCTCACCATTATACCAATGAATACGACCATATATTCATCTGATCTAACTTAGGTTTGGTCTGTCTTTCTTCTCATTGAAGAAGGAATGGGTAAAAAAGAATTTTTTTTCTTCCAAATACTGAATATCTTCATAAATTAATTATCAATAAAAGAGTGGGCATTAGCTCCAATCTAGAGATTTCAACAGGGTTAGCCCTTGGGTCGAAAAAGAATACAAGTTCAGAGAAAAAATGTCGGAAGGAAAAGAAGAAATTATTCAAGAATTCCAAATTTATAATATTTGTCTCCAATAAATATGACTTTGGTGGTATCTATTAATAACTCAAGATCCCAAATTTGAGTCTCGTAAAAGGTGTATTGGTTGATGCATACAATCAAGAGTTTAAAAGTAAGGACACTTGCGACAATTTTTTGTTATATTAAAAAAAAAAAAACTCTCAAGTGTCTGATTTCTAAATAAAAAGAATAGATAGGTTGACCGTCCACATCAAAAAAATCATGGAAAATTGCACATGAAGAGAGTCAAGACACATACCCTTTTAACCTCCAGAGCCAATGATTCCATATTGTATTTCTTTTGACATGAAAGCGATTGGGTGATTACAATATTAATCATCATATATAAGCCGCAGCAAAATGGGCCCCAGTAGGAATAAGAGTGGACAACTAAATATGCTCTTATTTGCATATTCCTACAAGCCAGCTTTTTAATGCCGGGTAGTCTGGTATGGGGTCCCAATCATTCTTTGGGGTCTCACATAAAATACTAGGAAAGAACCCCAAAACTATTAAAAATATCATAGTCCATTATTTTTACTTGAAAAAGCAAAAACATTTGTATCTATTAGTTGATTATTTTCTTGTACAATAATAATTCTAACATATTTCAAATAAAAAAGAAGATTTAATTCTGAGCTACATATATGATGGACAACTCATTAATTATTTGGATTTCCACCGATCGTATTCATTTATTTGAGAACAAGAAAAAAATAAGTTTAAAAACTATTAAAATATTGTACACATTATTTCTCCTCTTAGATTATAGTGAAAATCAAGTTTTGTGAGTTATGCTCATCTACTATATTGCTGTTTGGTTCTATGGTTGTGAATGGACTACTAAATGAGGAGTATAATTAATATTTCTCAAATCTAAAATGATGGAAGAACTCAATAACAACTGTCTACAATGATCATTTCCTTTATGAAGTCTACTTGAAAATTTATGGGCTGCGTGCGTGAGTGGCATTGTTCTCAGCTCAGCTAGCCTGATGGTCGGATTAGATTTGGGTCATATTTTGTTTTGATCTTAATTCAAATCTATTTCAAAAGTACTAATCCGAGTACGATATGATTAATTGATAGATTTCATTTTCATGGTCTTTAATTAATTATCCAAATTTGTTAAAAATCAAAATTTTGATTTGATTCAAACAACTTGTTCAAATTCCAACTTAACTTCTGTAATAATTACTCGATTTCATCATATATTAGCATACATCAAATTTCGATCGCACTAGATATTGATATATTCAGATTTAAACTCATAATCGAAATAAGTTCAAAATTTGATTTATTGACATACCTATTTTTAACAACAGATATAGTTGTGGCCAATTAGACATTCTATCTAACTAAGGTTGATTTTTCTTATATTTTTATGTGACAAATCCTTTCATGGGTTTTGTTTTTAGCCTTTATACTGTGATTGATTGTGATAGAATTAGTGACCAAGAACCTGGACTGCTAAGCATTTAATATATTGTATAAACATCCTTATTAGGTGTATCTTACTGTTTGTATCAACGGACTATATGCCAAAACAAATTAATATATATATTTTTTGCCAACTGGGAGAGAGAGAGAGAGAGAGAGCAGTATTCTTCAAGTCGGCTTGGGGTTTAGTTTGCACAGCTCAGCTTGAAGCATATATTTTGGGAACCTAGGGTGGCTAGAGTCTCTAACCTAAAGAAGTTTATTTGAAATTTGCAGAATGTATGAGCTAACTTAGGGGTGTCCGATTGGCCAGATTGCCACAGGTTCGTTATTTGGCTCGAAAAAGGGATCTAAATTTGATAGACCTGATAATTGGTCTACTTGAATTCGAGCTTAATATCATTCAATCTGATAGGCCCGATGTTATATTAGGTTTTTATTATAGTGATCAAAATATTCATCGTGAAATAAAATTAGTTGTTCAATGTAAGCAATTTGTACTATTCTTTTATTTTATATATATATTATTTATTTATATGTGCTAATAATTTAACGAAAAGGAAGACAAATAAAAAATTAATAAATTTTTGCCTACTATAGTTACATTGTTAATAGAAAAGTGAGAAGCAAAATGATAGTAAGAGCCAAGTCACACAATCCATCCCTAACTAATAACTCACACAAGTTATACTTTTTCGCATTTGCATTTTAATAAATTCGAGAATTCAATAAAAAAAGTTCGCATTGTAGTTGGTTTTATTAAAATTCGAGAATTCAATAAAAAAAGTTCGCATTATAGTTGGTTTTGCTAAGTCGCCATCTAAGAGACACATTGATGATTAAATAATTATCAAAGATCTTGTGATTCCTCTATTGGGTCGCTAGCTAAGGCACACATTGGTCATTAAAAATAGCAATGGCTAAGGAGAGACTACTGCCCTTTTTATAAGCTTTTTTAAGTGAAACTTTCTCATTCCTTTCCAATGTGGGATGAATATCCAAGGCTTCCAAAGGTTTTTGGTTCTCTCATTCTCCATATTGTTTGCTTTTAAAACTCAAATAAATACTAACAAATTTTAAATAATTCTATCATATATTTTGTGTATGAAAATTTAATTTTTATTAACTTTTATACATAAAAACATGTACATATTTATATTGTATGACACTCTCATCTATTTTTTAATTTTTTTTTTAAGTTTGCTCCTGCTCCCACTCTATTTCTCATTCATCAAATCAATATGCATTTGTATAATCATTATATTTTAGTGAAGAGAGAATTTAAATCAATGTATATTATTGTAGTAATTAGATTTGAAGGTGAGGACTTGAGAAGTCTTCATTGATTTTTTTTAATTTATAGATTTTTGATTTATTAAAAGTAAAAAAATATTTTATCCAATTATATTTTACAAATTGTCCCAAATAACCAGCCAGTACCCATCAACTCTCTCAATAACGACCCAGTACTTATTCATTGTTCAAAAAATTAATTTCAATAATTTTATAATTTTTGTGATTCCTAATATTAAGGGTGAAGGAAATAAAAGGACAAAGAAGGTGATGTGATAAAAAAAATGAGAAGATTATAAGTGTCGTGCATTGCATGGGGTCAGGCCATAGTTTATAATTATTTTAGTCAATGAGTAATAAGATCACATTGTTAGAGTTATTTTATCATAACTTATTAAAATTAAAAGAAGTTACTTTAACCAAATGTAAGAAATATTTGTTTAATTCATCAACAAATATTAGAGCAAGACTTTGGTAAAAAAAAAAATTAACTTTTTCATATTCTAATAAAGTTATTATAAAAAAAATAAATGATGTTACAACTCAATCTTATGTAATTATATTAAAATAAAATTATTTGAGATTGATTTTAATATTTGAGAGTCGTTCTTCTAATATCATTCTATTATAAGATGACCCAAAAAATTATTTTTACTAAAAAAAATAAAATAAACTTGATATTGTACATCTTTTGGTATCGAATTCTTACCCTTAATTATAAACTTATTAAATTTTGAAGCTCAAAAATGGATTTATGGTTGCAACTTAAACAGAGTCTAAGCCAAGCCAAAGCCATTCTCAATGGTCGGCTGTCGGTGGTCCTTTGATAGATCATCAGCTCACCTCACACTACTATTCTTCTCTCATCTCTCACTCAACGCACGCATATACACGCTTTTCTGTTCCTCTCTCTCTGTCTCTCCAATTACTGATCTTCTTCCTTCCCTTGTCTACGACGAAACCCGTCAACGCACTGAGAAGATCACATCCTCCTCTTGCTTCTCCAATCCACAGTCTCGTCCAGGGAGGTTCCAGGTCTCTCTCTACTGACTTCATTGATTATCTGCATTGATACGGATTTGTGGTTTCTCCAGAATCTACAGCATCAACTACTTCCCTTTTCCCTTAGATCTCCGTAGTTCAATTCACAACATGCTTACATACATTTCTGTCTATTCTTTTTATATTTCTGTTCCTGATGAAAATGACGGCACAGGTCGTAGACTCTTCCTTCCAACATTAAATCTAAACACTAGTGATTGTGCCTTTTCTAATTTCAATTTGGCTTTATCTTATTGGAACCTAACTGGATTTGGCACTTTTTTCAAATTACGAAAAGGTTTGAATTGTGAATTAAAGGAATGTACAACTGTTGGTTTGTCTAGCAGATTGTTGTAGTGTTTGGTAAAACCTATTTACAGTTGGCTTGGATTTTGCTGGAAATATGAAGTGATTTGAGTTCAATTTTTTATGAGATTCTTTGGGATTTGATTTGTGTCTATTTGTCTGTGTTTGGATTGGTTAATCTTGATTTTGTTTTCTTTTGCAAATGGTAATTATGACTCTAAAGTCTTTCAATTTTTGAGTTCGGAATGTTGATTTGCAGGAAGCTCTAGTTTTTTAGCGTGCCTTGGAGGTAGATCTGAAGATCTTGAAAAGCTGGCGGCCACACTAGCTTGGAGGTTTGCTGCCAGCAATGGGAGCAGCCTTGCCACTCATGATCTGGTACTTCTCCTTGTGAAAAATTGGTCTACTTTGCTTGAGACTCAAATTTGAAATTATTTTCATAAATTTAGTTATAAGCATCAAGTGAAGATTTTCATTTCAGTGTGCCCCTTATGAACTTCAAATGCCCCATTTTTGGTTTCAATTTCAAGTGAATGTAGCTAATTCTTGAGTCAGTTGGGTCTAGAGTGTCCTTATGCAATTAAATTATAAAAGCTCTTAATTTTACAATCTCTATTCAACTGTTTAAACAAGCGACTGGAAAGAAGAGGGCTGCATTTGGTAAAATATTTAAGCTGAAAGGGACTTTTCTTGAACACACAATGCGAAATGAGGTATATATTCTCATTTGCATGTGCCCCACAGTGAAAATTAGTTGAAGTAACATCCGAGGAATGTTGCCAACATATTTTGCAAATGAGGGCACATGTTGAGGAAAATAATATATGATTTATTATCTATTATCTTTTCCTGAGTTGGGTCAAAGATTCTAACTGAACTGAAAAATAAATCACTTGAAATAAGCAATTTTTTTTTGGTGGGTTTCCCAGTTAGATCACGACCTAATTTCCAGCAACATTTGACTTTTTATCATCTAATAACATGATTTTGCATGACTTTTGTAATTTGAACTTCTATTGTCAACTTTGCTTGATGCATGAATATATCTGAAATTGAAGATCAATTTATTCTATAAATAATAGTTATTTCCAACCACTGATGCTTTTGATTGCAGGAAAGAAATGGGGATGCCAAGCCTCAAGATTCAGAGCCTCCAACTCCACATTCACTGATGAAGTTGGGTTTGAGGTCAGTTTATTCAAATCAAATGAACTTTTTTTCTCAGTGGGTTCCAATTTATGACTCAATCTGTAATTGCCAGCTATTTAGTTTTTTCGAGATAGAATAGGCAATGCCAGCATTCTTTTGTGTTTTCAGCTTTCATAAGAATGAAAACTAACCTGAATGGGTCGGTTCTATGGTTGAACAAGGAGCCAGGGGTGAACTCACATCACATTTCTCGAGTCGAAGTCCCCCTGGATACATTATATCCATGTTTATCCGCTATGTGTGGTTTAAAGGTAATTGTGTGCATCCGAGGTTTGTGTTACATACATGGAGTCCTCACTGACTTTACTTCAACCATCACATATTCTCCTGGATATTGATTAAGTTGATTGGATAAAATTAAGCTCACCAAAAGTTGATGCTTGTAGCTTGTCAAAATCTCATTTGACATGCTTTCTGACAAATTGCTTCATATGCTGCTACTGGCCTTTCCTTTTTTCCCTTTTCAGTTGAAATAAAATTTATATCAAATAACACAGCACCTGCTTTGTAGGTTTTATTTGATGCCTTTGTTTGAAATTCTATTTGTGCCTGTAATTAGGTCATTGATATTGCTGCATTTATAAGTTGACAATTGTGCAGTAAATATCTTCTGTCCCAAATTACCTGCAGAGACCGTAGTACAAGCATGGAGGATCCGGATGGGACATTAGCTAGTGTTGCCCAATGTATTGAGCAGTTGCGGCAGAATTCCTTATCTGCCCAAGAGAAAGAGTACTCCCTGAGGCAGTTGCTCGAGCTTATTGATACGCGCGAAAATGCTTTCAGTGCTGTTGGATCACATTCTCAGGCTGTTCCAGTCCTCGTGTCTCTTCTTCGATCGGGATCACTTGGGGTAAAGATCCAGGCTGCTACTGTTTTAGGCTCCCTGTGTAAGGAGAATGAACTACGGGTTAAAGTATTACTTGGGGGTTGCATTCCACCACTGCTTGGTCTTCTCAGGTCCAGTTCAGCAGAAGGTCAAATTGAAGCTGCAAAAACTATTTATGCTGTTTCTCAAGGTGGTACTAAGGATCATGTTGGCTCAAAAATTTTTTCAACTGAAGGAGTTGTGCCAGTGCTGTGGGAGCAACTAGAAAAGGGGCTCAGGGCTGGAAACTTAGTTGATAACTTACTGACTGGAGCTTTAAGAAACCTTTCCAGCAGCACTGAAGGATTCTGGCCTGTGACAATACAAGCTGGGGGAGTAAATGTACTTGTGAAGTTGCTGACAACTGCACAGGCAAGTATTCAAGCGAATGTATGCTTTCTCCTCTCATGTATGATGTTGGAGGATGCATCTGTTTGTTCCAGGGTCCTGGCTGTGGATGCTACAAAATTACTCCTTAAGCTACTTGGACCTGGTAATGAAGCTTCTGTCAGAGCAGAAGCTGCAGCTGCTCTTAAATCTCTTTCTGCCCAAAGTAAAGAAGCAAGAAGGGAGATAGCTAATTCTAATGGTATACCTGCTTTAATAAATGCTACAATAGCTCCTTCAAAAGAATTCATGCAAGGCGAGTATGCCCAAGCTTTGCAGGAGAATGCAATGTGCACTCTTGCAAACATTTCTGGTGGCTTGTCATACGTCATCTCAAGCCTTGGTCAAAGCCTTGAATCATGCACTTCACCTGCACAGGTTGCTGACACATTGGGAGCTTTAGCTTCAGCTCTTATGATATATGACAGCAAAGCAGAGACTACTAGAGTATCAGATCCTGTGGCTGTTGAGCAGACACTGATTAAGCAGTTTAAACCCCGCTTACCATTTCTTGTGCAGGAGCGAACCATAGAAGCCTTTGCCAGTTTATATGGCAATGACATACTCTCAAGCAAACTTGCAAATTCTGATGCAAAACGTCTGCTGGTTGGTTTGATCACAATGGCAACCAATGAAGTTCAGGATGACTTGATAAGGTCCCTTCTTGTACTTTGCAGCAATGAAGGCAGCTTATGGCATGCCCTTCAGGGTCGTGAAGGGATTCAGCTGTTGATATCTCTTCTTGGGCTTTCATCAGAGCAGCAACAGGAGTGTGCTGTTGCTTTGCTTTGCCTCTTATCTATTGAGAATGATGAAAGTAAATGGGCCATCACAGCTGCTGGTGGCATACCTCCACTTGTTCAAATTCTGGAGACGGGGTCTGCAAAAGCGAAAGAAGACTCTGCTACAATTCTTGGGAACCTTTGTAATCACAGTGAAGATATACGGGCATGTGTTGAAAGTGCTGATGCTGTTCCTGCTTTGTTATGGCTACTGAAGAACGGAAGTCCCACTGGCAAAGAGATTGCTGCAAAGACATTGAACCATTTGATCCACAAATCAGATACAGCAACTATCAGCCAACTCACAGCATTATTAACCAGTGATTTACCCGAATCTAAAGTTTATGTCTTGAATGCATTAAGAAATTTGCTTTCTGTGGTCCCTCTCAGCGATATGTTGCGTGAAGGTACTGCTGCAAATGATGCAATTGGGACAATGATAAAACTTTTAAGCTCTACCAGAGAAGAAACTCAGGCTAAGTCTGCATCGGCTCTTGCTGCAATCTTTGATCTCAGGAAAGACTTGCGTGAAAGTAGCATTGCTGTCAATACTCTTTGGTCAGCCTTGAAGCTTCTAAATGCTGAATCTGAAAACATTTTAGTGGAGTCATGCCATTGTCTTGCTGCAATATTTCTGTCAATTAAAGAGAACCGCGATATGGCTGCAGTTGCTAGAGATATGTTGCCTTCACTAGTGGTGCTTGCTAACTCTTCAATCCTGGAAGTTGCAGAGCAGGCAGTATGTGCTTTGGCAAATCTTCTTTTGGACAGTGAAGTATCAGATAAAGCTATTCCTGACGAAATTATTGTGCCAGCTACCAGGGTTTTGCGCGAAGGCACGGTAGGTGGAAAGACCCATGCTGCAGCAGCAATTGCTCGGCTTCTGCATTCTCATCAGATTGATTCAGCCTTAACTGATTGTGTGAATCGCAATGGGACAGTTCTTGCACTGGTTGTTTTCCTAAAATCTGCTGACAGTGGATCTGTGGCCACATCAGAGGCATTAGATGCACTTGCTTTTCTGTCAAGGTCAGAAGGAACTAGTGGGCACATCAAACCTGCTTGGGCAGTCCTAGCTGAATTCCCAGATAGTATAACTCCGATAGTTTCATGTATCGCTGATGCAACACCCTTGTTGCAGGACAAAGCTATTGAAATATTGTCACTTCTTTGTCGGGCTCAGCCTGTTATTCTAGGAAACACAATTGCCTGTGCCTCTGGATGTATTACTTCAGTTGCCAGAAGGGTTATTAGTTCCTCAAATGTTGGGGTCAAAATTGGAGGAACTGCTCTTATTGTTTGTGCTGCGAAAGTAAATCGCCAAAAAGTAGTGGAAGATTTAAAAGAATCAAATTCACGTGCCCATGTCATTCAATCACTTGTTCGAATGCTGAATTCTACAGGCCATGGGGACAAGGAAACCATAAGCATCTACAGGCATACTGAAGAGGAAGCAAGGAATAACGAAACTGAGACAACTACATCAGTTATCTATGGTGCCAACATAGCTATATGGCTACTCTCAGCTCTTGCAAGCTATGACAACAGCAGTAAAATTGAGATTATGGAGGCTGGAGCAATAGAAGTACTAACTGACAGAATTTCACAATACACTCAGGTAATCAGCTTATTTCGGTTTTCAATTTAGATGTAGTGTGTGTATCTTATGCACACTGCATGCGGTTATTGATGAACTTTTATGTTTTAAACAACCATTGTTAGTCAACTATGGTTTTCTGATAAAATTTCCCCTCAGCTACGGCAGACTAAGATCTTATTATAAGCTGCAGCACTTTCACTGTTGATGCAGTTGTAATAGTAATTCGTGCAGGTTGATTTTAGAGAAGACACTAGCATATGGATTTGTGCACTACTACTGGCAATTTTATTTCAAGATAGAGATATCATAAGAGCGCATGCAACAATGAAGGCTGTACCAGTACTCGGTTACTTGTTGAAGTCGGAGGAGTCAGCAAATAGATATTTTGCTGCTCAAGCTATCACCAGTCTAGTCTGTAATGGTAGCAGGGGAACTCTTCTATCTGTTGCGAATTCTGGAGCAGCAGGTGGGCTTATTTCATTACTTGGGTGTGCTGATGTTGATATTTGTGATCTTCTGGAATTATCGGAGGAATTTGCTTTGGTGCGTTATCCAGAACAAGTTGCTCTTGAGAGGTTATTTCGAGTAGATGACATTAGAGTTGGTGCTACTTCTCGGAAAGCAATACCTTCCCTTGTTGATCTACTTAAGCCAATTCCAGATCGTCCAGGGGCACCTTTTCTAGCACTTGGTCTTCTGATCCAGCTTGGAAAAGACTGTCCCTCGAATAAGATTGTTATGGTGGAATCAGGGGCTTTGGAAGCACTGACCAGATATCTTTCCCTTGGGCCACAAGATGCAACTGAGGAAGCCGCTACTGATCTCCTGGGCATCCTATTTGGCACGGCTGAAATTCGAAGACATGAATCTGCATTTGGTGCCGTCAGTCAACTCGTGGCAGTCTTACGTTTAGGTGGAAGAGGGGCAAGGTATAGTGCTGCTAAAGCACTGGAAAGCTTATTTTCTGCTGATCACATCAGAAATGCAGAATCTGCTAGACAAGCTGTTCAACCATTGGTGGAAATTCTGAACACTGGTTTAGAGAAGGAACAGCATGCTGCTATTGCTGCACTGATTAGGTTGCTAAGTGAAAACCCATCAAGAGTCCTTACTGTCGTAGATGTTGAAATGAATGCAGTGGATGTTCTTTGCAGGATCCTTTCGTCGAATTGTTCTATGGAGCTGAAGGGGGATGCTGCTGAGTTGTGTCGTGTTTTCTTTGGAAATACGAGAATCAGATCTACAATGGCTGCAGCTCGATGTGTCGAGCCTCTGGTCTCTCTTCTTGTAACTGAGTTCAGTCCTGCTCAACATTCAGTTGTCCGCGCATTGGATAAACTCTTGGATGATGAGCAACTGGCTGAACTAGTTGCTGCACATGGTGCAGTTATTCCTCTGGTAGGCCTTCTCTGTGGTCGAAATTACATGCTTCATGAGGCTATTTCCAGGGCTCTTGTGAAGTTAGGTAAAGACAGGCCATCTTGTAAGATGGAAATGGTGAAAACAGGAGTAATTGAGAGTGTGCTACATATCCTCCATGATGCACCAGATTTCCTCTGTGCGGCTTTTTCAGAATTACTCCGTATATTGACTAATAATGCTACCATTGCGAAGGGTCCATCTGCAGCAAAAGTAGTTGAACCCCTTTTCCTGTTGCTAACAAGATCAGAATTTGGACATGAAGGACAGCACAGTGCTTTGCAGGTTCTTGTGAACATCTTAGAGCACCCTCAGTGTCGTGCTGATTATACCTTGACGTCTCACCAAGCTATTGAACCACTTATCCCTCTAGTTGATTCTCCTGTTTCGGCTGTGCAACAGTTGGCAGCTGAGCTTCTATCTCATCTACTTATGGAAGAGCATCTTCAGAAGGATTCAGTGACGCAGCAAGTCATTGGTCCCCTGGTAAGAGTTCTTAGTTCTGGTATACACATTTTGCAGCAGAGAGCTGTAAAGGCTCTTGTTAGCATATCACTAACTTGGCCTAATGAAATTGCCAAAGAGGGTGGTGTAAGTGAGCTGTCCAAATTGATATTGGAGGCTGATCTATCCCTTCCTCATGCCTTGTGGGAATCTGCTGCTTCTGTTTTATCCTGCATTCTGCAATATAGTTCTGAGTTTTATTTGGAAGTACCTATAGTTGTGTTGGTAAGGTTGCTTTGTTCGGGCGCAGAAAGCACAGTAATTGGTACATTGAATGCACTTCTGGTTTTGGACACTGATGATCCTACCAGTGCTGAAGCAATGGCTGAAAGTGGGGCCATTGAGGCCCTTTTGGAACTTCTAAGATCTCACCAGTGTGAGGAAACCGCTGCAAGACTTTTGGAGGTATTGCTGAACAATGTGAAGATCAGAGAAACAAAAGCTACAAAGTCTGCTATCTTGCCATTATCCCAGTACCTGTTGGATCCACAAACACAAGGTCAGCAAGCTAGGTTACTGGCAACTCTTGCTCTTGGTGATCTGTTCCAGAATGAGGCTCTTGCTCGTAGTACAGATGCTGTTTCAGCCTGCCGGGCTTTAGTGAATCTGCTTGAGGATCAGCCTACAGAAGAAATGAAAGTGGTAGCTATATGTGCCTTGCAAAACCTTGTAATGTATAGTCGATCAAATAAAAGGGCAGTTGCAGAAGCTGGCGGCGTTCAGGTTGTGCTGGATCTGGTTGGTTCAAGTGATCCAGATACATCGGTTCAAGCCACAATGTTTATTAAACTTTTGTTCTCGAATAATACCATTCAAGAGTATGCGTCCAGTGAAACAGTCAGAGCTATAACTGGTAAATTCTTGTTTATCTTTTGGTAGTGCCAAGTCTACCTCATTTTGATTGATTTGAGGGTCATATAACTATGGCGATTCGTTGTGTAGCCCAATTGTTAGATACAATTTGGGGTGCTTCTAGGCTCCTATGAAAACTTCCTTTCCTGAGTGCTACCCTTAATTGCATGAGAATTTCTTTTTTCTTTGTCAACACAGGCTGACCACCACTACCATTGTCATCGTATCATCATTACCGATTCAGAATAGGGTTTACTTGTCTTTTAGTCCAATTTCCATTAACCTGGTGGCTTAGTTTTGTCAATCCATTATTAGTACCAGGCACATTCTCTGTTTGTTCATACTCCATAGACAGTGAATTCCTTGCTATTGCTACTGTTGCCACAGTATGTGCACCCGAGTCAATATTTTGGCTTTTGTTATAGTGTACTCCCTTCCAGAGCTGTCATTAACCTTCTACTACACATCTATCGGCCCACTATGGGGATATAGTGCAAGATTCTGTCTTCTACTTATATTCTCACATGTATGGCAGAGAGCCATATCGAGTATTTGGTAATGTCAATGGTACCTACTGACTATTTGCATTTCCTTTTTAGTATTAATAGGGCATGACATGAACAGTTAAATTGGTATCTTCCTCAGAATGAGTTACGCACGTAATTTTATTCATCTTTTTCTATACTTGAGATAGCCTTTTCTTATCACATGTACCTTTTTTCGATTTGAACTTATTTCACCACCCAAGCTACTTAGAATTTCACTGCTTACAATAGAGCTAGGTTATGCACCTAAATTTATTTGCTGCTCCCATTAAGCACCTCAGTTACATGGAAGAACAGTTGTAGTGGACTGTTTAAATATTACTTTCCCTATTCAGCAGTTGGGCTTTTAATATTAATAAGGATGTTAATTGATTAAATTTTTCTATGATTCCCTTTTTCATTGGTTTAATCAATTTCAATGCTCTTTCAGCCGCTATTGAGAAAGATTTATGGGCCACTGGAACAGTAAATGAGGAATATCTGAAAGCTTTAAATGCTCTATTCAGCAACTTCCCGCGTTTGAGAGCCACAGAGCCTGCAACACTTAGTATTCCACATCTTGTCACCTCACTGAAGACTGGTTCAGAGGCCACTCAAGAAGCTGCCTTGGATGCTCTATTTCTGCTTAGGCAAGCTTGGTCGGCATGCCCAGCTGAAGTCAGTAGAGCGCAGTCAATTGCTGCTGCTGATGCAATTCCCTTGTTGCAATACTTAATTCAATCAGGCCCACCTCGGTTTCAAGAGAAGGCAGAATTTCTGTTGCAGTGTTTGCCTGGAACCTTAACTGTAATAATTAAACATGGCAACAATATGAAGCAGTCAGTTGGAAACCCAAGTGTTTATTGCAAGCTTACACTTGGCAATACCCCACCTAGGCAAACCAAGGTATGATGCTTACATTGGTACTTATCAGGGCCTTATTGTGCATTCTTGAAATCATTATTTGCACTGCGTGTAGCTATCCTCTTTTCCACTATCTGGAAACAAGATTATTTAAAATGCTCAAAGTGGACTAGACAACCAATTTAGAGTCATAACCGTTTAGCATTTATCCTCGAACTGTTGTTCTATTATTAACATACGTTTAGAGCAGCATGTAGCTTAATCCATTTTCTCAACTTTCTTTCATTCTACCTTTCTCCTCCATGTGGTAAACAAGCTTTAGTAAACTTCCTCCTTGAGATGATCTAACATTTTTACTTCTTAGACATGCAAGTCATCCGGATTGGGTGTTGATTTTCACTTCTGCTCTTAAATTTATAGGTTCTTTACTATCTCCTGTATATTGGTCCATGCACAGAAGCATATCATAGATTGTCTTCTACAATCTAATCAGGCAATGTTTCCCAGTGTTGTTCTTTTTTGAGTCAGCCATTAAAAGCTGCATGTTTGTATATCATGTGCTTTTTTTGGGTTATTCCCTACTTATACGTGGATTATTTAACCTTTATTTTGCTCAGTTTGGTCTGAGCATCCTCATTCTCGCCTTCTTGGAAGTTTGACCTATATGTGCTTGAAATCCATAATGCCTAAGGAAGGTCTTCAAATTGGCATTTTCATTTGTATTGGCTAAGCAAGACTTGACGATGATTGCAGTTTCCCACAAGGGTTACTAGCATAGTGCTCCATTAATGGTAACTCTGAATTGCATGGCTAGAACGGCTAAACAACGCATATGGAATGGCCAATACTGAAGCAAATCCATATGACTGTCAAGGGCTGTACTGACTGCATACTTAATTTTGAATTTGGACAAGGGGGAACTAAAACCTCAGGAATAATGTATTTTTGAGGGCACTGGAGGTCATTATGCAATGATCTTCTATGCATTGTGCTCAATTATCTGCTGAATCATTTTGTGTAAGCATATCCCATCAATAGATGTTCAAAAGGAAGGTATAGGAATATGTCTCATGAAGACGTATGCCTGGAGAAACTACTGCATTCTTGAAAGTAGTGACTCAATTCTTACTCTCTGTGTTACAGTTTTGGAATCATCATCCAACCACCACGTGCGGAACTAAATGACCTTTTGATGTAATTGACGAGACCAAACCAGTTAAACAATCAGCTTTGCGTGTGACCGACATCGTTAACAAAATTTTAGGATAGTAAATTTTCAAAAAATAGGAATGAAGAAACGAGAAATACTGCCTACAAATGATGTATCTCAAATGAGTTACTGTTGCTAGTTTGTTTCTTTGCTCTTTTGTTGTGAATCAGTATACTTTTATAGTCCTGATTGATTATATATTCTTTTGTACGATATCTCATTTGTGAACAATTGACTGAACAAACCTCCCACTAAGTGTAGTGGGACAAATATCCTTTACAAGCATTTTGCCTTTTGCCTAAAGGCATTTTTTTTTTTAATGTGCTTGGCCAAATATATAATTGTTCTTTTGCCTCCCTTGCCGTCAGACTTTGTATGTGTCATTCATGTTCTCTGTTGTCACTCAGATTGTATCGACTGGTCCTAATCCAGAATGGGATGAGAGCTTTGTCTGGTCCTTTGAAAGTCCTCCAAAAGGCCAGAAACTTCATATTTCATGCAAGAATAAGAGCAAAATGGGGAAGGTACATGAGTTAGAAAATTAACAAAAAGGGTTTGGATGCAGATTTATACTTCTTGCCATAGAATTTCTTTCTTTAATTTTTTACTAACCAAGTTGCATGAAAACTAATGGCAGAGCTCATTCGGAAAGGTAACCATCCAGATCGACCGCGTTGTAATGCTGGGGGCAGTTGCCGGTGAGTACACTCTGTTGCCTGCAAGCAAAAGTGGGCCCCCACGAAATCTGGAGATAGAATTCCAGTGGTCTAACAAGTAGCAGCCGATGCCGAATTAAACCTCGGGAACATACATGTTTTCAATTTATTTATTTAACTTTATTTAATGAGTCGGTGTATATAGTTTCCTAGAGATTTTACTTTTGGGTAGTGCTCGTCTACAGTCCTAAAATGGCCATTTGCTGGTGTATTCTTTTGTAACTTGATCCCCGCTTCTATTCTTGAGAAGGTTTTGGACTTTTATATGTCTTTCTTTGTAATTTTTGTATTGATATTTTTCAGCTTGTCGAATTCAGAGGAAAATAATGGAGTGTATGGTATGGAACATATTTTTTGGTTGTATAATTTGTTTGTGTATATTGCAAAATTAATGAGAAAAGGCATATATTTATACCCATTATTTTTTATTAAACAATATTGGGTAGTGCTCCTTTCTTTATCTTCTGTATCAAAAATATACATAATAAATAATTACACAATTCTGAGTTCTTTTTTATGCCATATGGTTCAATAACTTTAAATAATTTTTCAAAATAGAAACATAATGGACTACATTACAAAGAGAACAAGAAGAATGAAAAGTAGTAAGCAAATTGAATATGAAAATGAAACAAGTATTGAACTTAAAATTAAGCAAAAATAGTAAAGGATCACCAGAGTGATGATTATAAGAAAAATAAAATTGCTTAGAAATAAGAAATAAGTATAAGGTAGGCTAATTCTATGAAGAGGTTGTGTGTTTGATCGTGGATCCTTTTTCAGTGGCCTAGTCTCTACTATTAATAGAGATGACCTTCAATTGTTGACCTATCTTTTTTAGCCATTACTATGATCATGATCTTGTCTCTCAAGATGCGTGGACTTGTGTTGAATCATCACCAACTTGTGGCCCATGATGCCATGTTTCCTTATTTCCCAAGATTCTAAGAGTCCTATTTTTCTATCAATTCTGTCAATTGTGGATTTTCATAGATTCCTTTATGACCGTTAGATCCCTTCCATGTGTCACCCTTTGATCTTGCTATTTTTGAGTATAAACATTGTCCCTCCAAAACGATGCAATTGAATAATCAATATTCGGGGCGTCATTTTGGCTCTTTGAATTTAAATTTTTGTTGCTACACTTGTCCTTTTTAGATGTTATATTGCCATTGGCCGCAAAGCTTAGGGATTGTGGCTGAAGTTCCACGTGTAATCTTTCGGTCTATCATTCGTCTTTTCAACTCTACAAAAAATGACTGGCACGCGATTCGTCCATATCTTTTAATCATTATTTCAACTCGTTCTCTACACCTATATAATCCATCCGCAGTCCTATTGCTTTGTTATTATTTTGATATTCTCTTATTCTTCTACTTCAATGGAGGCTCCTTGTACTATTGCTCTTGAAGTGGCTCTTTCACGGGTGCAAGCTACCCAATACACTATTTGCAATTTTAATCCGCTCTCTGATTCTTCTTCACTAGAGATGGACCTTAGGCCAACCTTCAAAGAGATGCCTCTAGATGAGATCCCTTCCACGTGTGGACTTTCATAGATTCCTTTATGACCGTCAGATTCCTTCCATGTGTCACCTTTTGATCTTGCTATTTTTGAGTATAAACATTGTCCCTCCAAAACGATGCGATTGAATAATCCATATTCGAGGCGTCATTTTGGCTCTTTGAATATAAACTTTTGTCACTACACTTGTCCTTTTTAGATGTTATATTGTCATTGGCCGCGAAGCTTAGGGATGCCTCTAAACGAGGTTCATCGCATTTACCCTGACTCTCATATGTCTATGCCTTTCAACTTCCATAAGCCTCTCTAATGGACAAACTGGCTCAGTAGTAACCATATTCGTGCATGGAAGGCCCCCACCCTTGAATGGATATCATGGGTTGCTCGTGTTACGGCAACCAATGGTACTCTATGGCATCAACTTTATGGTATCATAGAGCTTAACATTATCACAATGCCCATTGACAAGCCATTGCTCAGCACCTTTCTTTTATTTTGGTTAACGGAGAATAATGCCTTTCACTTTCGTTTTGGCATGATGGGTCTTACGGTCTATGACATGTTTGTTTTTCTCGACCTTTCTCCATTCGAGGCCGAGGTTAACGCTCTACTCACACATACTGAATCAAACTATACATTTTTACTTGATATGCACAACAAGCCAATCACTATATATTCTATTTTTCTTGTAGCTTGTCGCGGTCGTGATATCTCTCTAGTGTTAGACCAAGAACATATTTCATTCCTGCTTTATTGGCTTAACCAGTTCTTTTCTACACTCCATCTTACAAAATGACTAAGGATTATATTCTGTTGGCCGTCTACATGGTTGCTGGAGCTTTCTATGCTCTTGCTCCTGTCATGCTCGCCCACCTTTACTATGGAATGTGGGAAATGGTGGCGTGGAAGTTGCAAAAGAATTTGGGTCCCTTCTGGATGCTTCAGATATGGCTTTGTGCTTATTTCCCAGAGCTCTCTGTCCCACCTACCAATAACGCCTCTTTTTCTTACGGCCACCTATTTGCCACGGTCCCTTCTAGAGAATAGTCATTCGCCAACTGTTTTTCTTATTTGTATAACTTGAACGGCTCACAGCCTATTTGGATGCCGTTTTCCTGGAACCGAGGTCTAGAATGGTTCTTGTATAAGCCTAGGGAAGCCCCTACTGACGTTGCTATTTCTCATGAGGATGCCTTATTCTCCTATCTTCACTCTAAAGACTTGCATTACAGCCTAGGACTGACCCATGGTGCCAATGCTCACTGCGGCGTCGAGATTTACATGCCTTGATAGTTCGAACGTCAATTTGGTCTAGTACGACAAATTCTTTATCCTTTTGCCCGCTTTCTCAATATCGACTACATCAATCAGCCTAATGTGACTGTTCGAGAAGTTAGCCATCGCTAATCTCTTACTTGCCGCTCCTTTCAAATGACCTCTTTCACCAAGTCATTCTATGTTTTGAAAATTTCCAGGGCTTGGTGGGAAAAATATGTTTCTCAGCAATTTGATCATGATATGACCACTGTTCTTAACCACATAAACTTTTCATTATGAGTTCAGTCATTCCCTAGGGCCACCTTGGTTAGGGCTTCCCCTCTTGCTATTGTTCCTCCTCGAGAAATTGACCTTGATCTCATGACCTATGCAGATCTAGCCTCCTTGACTATTCATACTTCTCAAACATGGCCTCATCGTATGGACAAGCGGTGGTGTTCTTTCGTAACTCCCTCAACATATATTTTTCATGCCCAAGTTGATGAGGGACAGGACGTTGAAGATAATGCCCCTTGATGGAGCTAAATATGTCCTAGGGTAAAGCACGTGCCAAGCACAATCATGCGTTTCAAGGGATCATGAGACAAACATGTGAGTTGGATCCGATTAGGGGAAGTAGCTCCAGAACCCAAACTGACTCACCGACTCACTCACCCATATCCCACCATTTTAGCTTAAACCAGTTACGGATACTTGGGGAAAGAGGTTCCACATTTCTTGCCACTCAATCTGAAAAGCAACTATAGAGCTCCAAGGGTAACATGAGCTTAGCCTATAAAGGGAAAGAGGCAGCTATGCCTTAGGCAAGTTGTTATAATTTTAGAATTGATTATCCAAGTGTAAGTTGTCGTGAAGTAATACAATACTTGGAAGTCCGAGGTCAAACTATAGGAAATTGAAAAAACTTAAAACACAAGGACAAATAAAAAGAAAAATTGCTCTAAAAATTATTTTGAGAAATTTTTTTGTTCAAATGAACAAAAGTTGTTTGATTATAAATATAAATTTAAAATATTAAAGCATCAAGGATATCCTTTCGATTTCACACGGTAATTATTAATGATCTAATTTTTGAATTCAATTGAGAATCAGATAAGAAGTGATCCCCATCGAAATATTTAGCGGCGATAATATGAAAAATGACATAGGTATAATTAATAAATTATCTGAATAAATATAATAATTTATTTGTACATCACAAGCATTCACCGTGTCCAAAATTTACGATAAATAAAGCTTTCCAACATGTAAATCCTAATTTTATTGCAAATAATAACTAAACTATCTTAATTTTATTAATTAATTCAAGTATGAAATAACTAGTTATTTGATTCGCAGAGAATCTCAAACATTCGATGCATGTGGTCCAACGAATCAAAAAATTATATACAACAAAATTTTTAATAAGATAAGAATTAAATTAAAAGAATAAATCAAGCATTATAAATATTGGATCAAGAAAAATACTATGTTTTATTGAAAGTATATCCCCTAGCTTTAGTTGGACTTTTAGCAAGCCATAAGAAAAATACACCAAAAACTAGAAAATAAAAGATTGGGAAAAGAATAATGCTTTCTCAATGGGTGAGAACTTTTATTTATACTAAAATAAAGCCTATGTTTAGGTAGAAGATCTAGTGTTGGTTTGGGAGAAATTCTTTTTCAAAAAGAAGTTTTTTTTAAGCCAAGTCTTGTGCATTAAATCTTGGGGCCCCAAATACAAAATATATCCATATTTTGAGCTTAATTTTTGCATAGTTAGAGGCCGATTCATGAAATTTTTGTGAAATATACTTTTGTATCCCTTAAAGTCTTATTTTCAACCCCATAAAAATTAGGTCAATTAGATATTGGAGGAAAAATTTATGACTCAAATCTTAAAGAGGTGTCAAAATCTTATCTTCTAGAATACTTTCTTTAGCCAACTCTCAATTTGTTTTCTTCTTACTTGGACTCGAGATGAGGCCAGTTACCAGGCTAGTGATAACAAACATGATTTGACAATGTATTTAAGACTGAGTGTGTGTGTGACTTTTCATTTATAAAGTTATTTGTAATCATGAGATTATTGTGTTTACATGATTATGTGGGAGGGATTGAAGTACAATTTGTTATACTCATGTATGTATCAAAGTTTATTTTTTTTGTATATAAACTGTAGGATTTATTTTCACACCTCATTAGAGGTGATTGCTATTCACGGACCTTTGTGCTCACCCAAACATTTAACATTTTTCAAGTGAGGATCAGGGGGAGAAGTAAGTCCTTAGGTAGCAAGGGATTAAAAGAATTGAAGATTTATTTTATCGTAGGTTTTCTGGAATAAATGTCATTTGTAGTTTTGAGACAATATTCAATTATTTTGTGAACAATATTCCTTATGCTTAGAGTAGTGAACCTTATGGATTAATTATTATTTTACATGAGTTTAATAATAATGTCGGTGATGTTAGTTTATTCCTCTGGTATTCATTATATCGATGAAATTGATTACTTTATTATTTGTCTTCTACTATATTTTGCATATATTATGCACAAGGATGATTGGTTTAGGCCTTGGTGGCCGATCTGCTACTCACCCTATGTGATTCGGGGTGGG